ATTTTAAATAATTTGTTACCTCATTATATGGAAGTATAACATTATTTTAATCTATTCTCCTACAAATAACCATTTAGGATGTTTCTACAGAGATGTTTTATACATCACACTGTCTTATTACCTGTGGTGCATATAAATAAAATTCTACCTTAGAACACACCACATACTGTTGTCACTAAGAGAAGCAGCTCTACCATGCACCAACATTTCTTCAACAAATGTCAGATGCTTTCAAAGTAAAGATATAGTCTGAGTGAACCCATGCTATACACAAGAAGAATATTGATTCTTTCAACATCAAAATATATTACTGTGGACTCTGATTTTTTTCAGATGTCTGAATTTATTTTTATAAATAATTTAAGTAGAGTTTAGTAATTGGTTTCTGAATTGATAATATGATCTTACCATTGGATGAGTATAAATAGGCAAAAGTCAGGCTCATTTTTCTTTTCCAGGGTTTATATATGTAACAAATTTCAGATGTTAAAACATTAGATTTCATATCATAAAAGCAACATAACATAATTGATTTAGAACCTATACTTGAAACCAAAGCTAATTTTCTCCAATTAAAGTGTCCAAATAGGTATGGCATGTTGAAATATCAATCATCTCCTACCTAAAATTTGGTTTTAATTGACCCTAAAAGAGAATGCCTATTCTGACTGTTCTCTCTGTGGTGTTATATTTCAAATGCTCTGGAGGTCTACTGCCCATCTTTTAGAGTTCTCAAATACTCTTTGTAATCCATACTAGTCTCATGGCTGCCAAATTTTCTTCATTTAAGTTGTATGATATATTGGTCAAGCAAAGTTAAGCTATTTGATGGTAATAGCTCCCAAACTGAAATTACTTACAGTAAGGTTTATTTCTCTTCACATTATTTGTCAGGCACAGTCATCTTCAGCTTTGTTCCATCATTCTGGGATCCAAATGAAGAAGCATCACCTTTGTGGAACATGCTGTTCTTGTTGCAAAAGGAAAAAAGAGGTGACAGGGTGAAGCAATCACTCTTAAAGTTTCTCTTTGGCAATGGTTTACATCACTTTCTTTCTCATTTCATTGAACAAATGAAGGCATAAGGCCAAGCCTGCTACTCAACAAGGTAAGGAGGTAAAGTCATATCATTGGGAGGGACAACAATATTTGGGAACAGTAATAAAATACACCACAGATGTTGTTTTCCTTCTCAGACAGATATGATTTTGACTGACTTTTGGATTATTTGTAAAATCAAATTTGTTTTAAGTTTTGCTAATATACAAATAAGACTTGCTTATCTCTGGGATGGGGGTTAATTCAATTTAGTGCCTTCTGTGAATGTACAAAAAACCTTAGAATTAAAATCACTTTGAAAAATCAATAAATATCTGGATGCTCTGTGCATATCATTGTGCTCTAAGTATAAACAATATTAACTTATAAACTGAGTCAATTGGAATCTTTACTATTTCATTCTGAATCAAGGAAAAATAACTGGTTTCCATCCTACTCCTATTTCATCTATGAGTGGATCCTCAAAAAGAATTTCATACAGTTGGTATTTTAAATGAGACTATTCATATAGTTTCTTCAAATTTGATGAAAAATTTTCTATTTTTATGTGATATCATAAGGAACAGACGTTTAATTTAATTTATATAGGTAACAAATGAAAGATTTAAAAAACTTAATAGTATATAATATGTACATTCAGGCCAGTTTTTTGTTGCTATTTTGTTTTTTGCTGGCAATTCTTTCTTTAATGCTTTTTAAAAAGTTACTTGTCAATAGCTGGTACTTTGGGCACTGAGTCCAGTTTTGCTTAATCTGACTCTTTTTTGTAACAGTCTCTTCCTATTTCAAGATACTTTGAAAATTCTTGGTTTACTTTCTAAACATAAAGTAAACAATCTCATTTTTGGAAGCTAGCTTCTTTTTAAATGATATTTTATGATTAGATGGTTTAAAACAATTACCTGTTTGGCTTCTCAACAATAGACATGACAACTAATCACACTGCACAACAAAATGTATTCACTCATAGAAAAATAATAGTAATTATTATTGCTATTCATAATAATTATTATTATAGATAACACAGAGTGCTACTGCCATTGCTTTAAGTGCTTTACATGTATTGATTAATCTTCACAAGAACCCTATGAGGTAAGATAACAATATCATCCCCATTTTACAGATGAGGGATTTATAATACTTTAACACAAATCTAAATTCAGCTTTGGAGAAAATAAGTCAAGTTTGGCAGGTTTATCAGCAAGGCTAGGAAGTTGGCCAGTTAAAGCAGGAAACGAACAGAAGAAAGAGAAGTATTAACAGAGCTTGTTTACAGGTTTCCCAAATCTTACTCTATTCTCTAAATAAAAGAATTTCAAACAAACAAAAAAAAACTTAGGCAATTCTTATAAATTGTTAGTAAAAATAGAATTACTTTCTATTTAGTTCAACAAATAGCCTTTTAGTTTTTGTGATGGGCAAGATCTGGAACTCATACATAGGTTACATTAAGATCTTCTAACATTAGCCTTCTCTAATCTTCAAAACAACATAGAAACACAGGAAACTGTGCTTCTAGTTAGAATAGAAATAAAGTGCATACATTATTATTTCTCCTTTCATGATTGATTACCTTCTTTTTCAATGGCAGTGAGACCACAACCCATTGTAGAATAGCTGCACTTAATCTAGTAGCCAAAGAGGAAGGGTAAGCAGTTTTGACATCCCAGTTACATGTTAATCTGGAAAGCCCTTTTCTACTTGTAGATATTTTGGTGGACTCTTGCATATGTATAAAATGTTTTTATAGGGATATATTTTGTTTTACGTGATGATTGAATAGGTGGATAATTAACCTAAAGGGAATAGTAATTAACTAAAATTCATAGTTCCAAAGCTGTATTTGATTAAAAAACATTAACAATTTAAAAAATTATATAAAATGAATAGAAGAATCAAATGAAAGCATTGATGAATCACATTTTTATTCTATTTATGGTAGTTTCAATATGCTGTCTATAACTTTTTCATTGATCTTCTTAATAAAGGGGTTACATTTCAGCAGACTCTTAAGTTTTTCTAAATGTTAGGAGTAACATCTGTCTATTCTTAGCAGCTCATTTCTGAAAGGAGAAACTCTAGAAAATAATCTATTACTTAGTTTGCTTTTTATATTCAAGTATACTATAAAGTACTTAAACCTTTAATCATTGGAAAGAATTTTCATAGAAAAATTAGAGAAACTAAGGAAAATAATAACTAGATTTACCAATAACTTGAATGTGGTTGAGGGAAAAGCAGCAATCAAAATTGGTAACTAGTTAAATCTAAGAGATGAGAGAATATTCAGGTTCATGTCATTGATAAGTCAGAGTGCAGAGATTAGGCGCAGGTAGTAGTTGTTCTCTTACAAAACTTGATGTTCCCTTTCCTGAATATATTATCACTTTAATTCCTGTCAAATTTTAGTGACAGCTAACATGAAGCAGTAATAAAAGTCCTCTAAGTAATTCACAATTCTCTTAATATATTTTTTAAAGATTTTATTTATTTATTTATTTTAGAGAGGGAAGGGAGGGAGAGAGAGAGAGAAACATCAATGTGTGGTTGCTGGGGGCAGGGGCCTGCAACCCAGGCATGTGCCCTGACTGGGAATAGAACCTGTGATGCTTTGGTTGGCAGCCACGCTCAATACACTGAGAGCTATGCCAGCCAGAGCTTCTCTTAATATTTTTAAAATATGATTAAGTGCTTTACACAATAGCATTTTCCATGTTCTTCTGGTTAAAGGGCAGAAAGAACTTAAACATGGCAAGACTGTAACATGCCAAAGGTCATGTAACCTGTAGTCAACCGGATTTCCTAATTATTAATCTAGTGCGATATTTTAAGATTCATTAGATGACTAAACCTGATTAGTTAACGACTCACCTGACACACATCCTGTTTCATAAAAATCATCCCATTAACCTTTGTGGATCTATGCATTTAAACCTACTGGATCTAGGAAATCATCTAAAAACATTTTTTTTTTTAAATGGTGGAGTGGAGTGTATGTATAGGCTCAGAGGAAAACTGAAGACTTTATCAGACTCTAGGCTCTTTTTCTACAGGTTCAAAAGGATAGAAAGATAAAATGATACCAGGCTGAAACAATTCAGAAAACCAGTATTCGGATGCTTCTATTTTAAAGGACGCTTCTATTTTTAAATGATAAAGCAGCTTTTAAAATAGAAAAAAATATATTTTTCTTTCAAGCAAACTGATGTTGAGAGAATCACTGCTGTTCAAAAATATTTTTGAGATACTGTTGTACGTTAATAAAATAATTTTTAAAAAGGAAAGCAACTGTAGTCTGGAACTTCTCTCTTCGCCTTCCTCCAAACTCCAGCTCTCCACATAGCTAAGTCGCATAGCTGAAAGGATTTTGCTCATTTTTTCCAAAACAGTTCACATCTGGGTAGTCGCCAACCATGGAAAGTTTCAAGTAAATGTAACTTTTGGGAGAGGGACGAGGCTCGTCTGGGGCTGCCTTCGCGGGACCGCAGCCCTCAGGGGCGTAGCCACACGCCCTTACCCGACAGCCGGCGTCCAGCTGCAAGTCTGGACCAGCCGAGCTCTCGTCAGCCCCGCTGACCCCCGGTCCCTCAGCAGCAGGGGCTAGTGCCCATCAGCCTCCCTAACAGTTTGAGGACCCAGAGTCTAGGAGCTCATCCGCTTCGTAAATGACAAGACTCCGGAGTTCCTGGTTCCCAAATAGGGCGGCCTCAGCATTGTAAAGAGAGAAGAAGGGGCTATTCTGCAGTCCCGCCTGGCTCCGCCGCCTCACACGTCAGTTTGCTTCCTCTCCCCGCCTCCAGCCAATCCCTCGCCAACCTCGTCGCGCAGTGAGCGCCGAGAGACATTTGACTGCTCCAGTCCCCAATCAGAAGAGAGGTTGAAAATCTGAGCCAATAGGAGTAGGCGAAGTGGGCAGAGCGCAGGAGTCTTTCCTCCTACATAGGAGGGTGAGCGCGGAATGTCTACGGCCCTCCCCTGCACTTCAGCCTTAGTGCGGAGCCCTTCGCGGTGAGAGAAGCAGAGGCAGAGGCGGCGGCCACGGGAGGCGGAACCACACCCACACCCACGTCGCTGCCCCTGTCCTTGCTTGTCCTCGCTTGCCCTTTCGCCGTCCCGCGGGATAACGCATCCTGGTAGGAGAGCGGCCGCCCACGCCCTTAGCATCCTTCTCTGTCCAGCCGACACTGACTGACCCGGCGGCATGATGCGGCTTCGAGGTTCGGCGAAGCTGCGGGACCTTCTCCTGCGGCCGTCCTCTGTCCCCAGCGCGGCTCTGAGGCGGGCGCAGCCTCTCGTCACGCTGTGCCAGCGCGCCCGCGGCGGGGGACCGGAGGCCTCCGGGTCTGCGGCCGCCGCGCGGCTGTACCCGTGGTGGGGCGGGGGCGGCCGGCCGGCAGGGCTCCTTGCCCGGGGCTTGTCCAGCTCCCCCTCAGAGATACTCCAGGAATTGGGCAAGGGGGGCACCCAGCAGCAGCAGCAACAGCAGCCGCCGCCGCAGCCAGGGGCGTCGCCGCCTGCGGCCCCGCCAGCGCCCGGCCCCAAGGACGGCCCCGGGGAGACGGAAGTGATCGGCAACCGCGAGGGCAAGGAGCTGGTGGCCTCAGGAGAAAAGTGAGTGTCTCCGCGCGGCGGCGGAGGCCTCGTTACGCGCGTGGGGCCTGGCCCGGGCGGGGCCTTCTGTGGGGCGGGATGGGAGCGGAGGTTCCAGGAGAAAGAAAGAGATGCCGGGCGGCCTGCGCTGTCTACGCCAAGTGATTAGGCCCAGCCGCGCCCGAGCCTTCCCGGCGCGCGCCCCTCCGCTGGGCCCTACTTTGCCCCGGCCGCCCGGGTGCTTCACCCCTCGCCTTGGAGTTGTGGCTGCCTGACCCACGCCGCGTGCGCCGCGCCCTGGCTCCGGGCTGCAGTAGCTGGGCACGCGCCCAGCCCTTCGTGGGTGATGCCACAGGAACATCTACATAGAGTGACATTTAGGAGTCGGGCGTTAAGCAAAGCCTGTCCTTTCCTGACTCGTCGTTTTTCCAGGCTCGAGTTTCCTCGCAGTCTGCCATTCTTCGCTCTCTGCCACCATCTCTTTGGAAGCCTAGTGTGAGAGTATTCTTAGTATTAACAAGGTGGCTCTTTCAGGCCTGTGTTGGGCCATCGGGGGCACCGGAAATAATGTTTCCGAAGCAAGATTAGGAGGAAAAAGGTCACGTGGAGGAGAAGATGGGGCACGCACTACAGACCACCTGTGTGCGGTGTGGCTTTGGCCTGTCTGATGTCCTGCGTGAGGTGGGCGATTTTTTAAAAATAAAAGCCAGAATTCCGAAGATGAAATGTGACGGGTAAAACACTAACTGAAACATTGGAGTTAACTTAACTGATAGGATGTTATTTCACTTGTACCACACAGCAGTTTAGTCATAGAACAAAATGGGTTTTTCTTACACAGCATGTGAAGCAGTTTCCTGGATATTTTGTCTCGTGTGCTATAAATGAACACAAATTTACCTGCCTGCTTGCTTTATACTTTACTATTTTTCTGATACTGTGCTAACATTACATGGTTTCGTCTCCTTTTTATTTATGTTACTACCTCCAGCTCCATAGTACCTTAAGCCACATCGAAAGAGTGATTCTTAATACTTTCAATATCAGGTCTGTTTAATATTTCCTGTAAGAAGTTGGTACCTTCCTAAAACATTCCAAACTAAAGTTGTTTTCCCAGACTGAAAAAATATTTTTTAAAAAATTGCTTGATGGGCAAAATTTGTGGTATTATGTGATAATGATTACGTGCTACAGAGTAGGTAACCTTATGACCATAGGCACGTATTTAACATCTTCAGTTAAATAACTCAAATCTCTTCAAGACCTAAAAAGCTAGACTTTTGTGAAATTTCTACCTCTCTAATGTTTTTTAGAGACTATAATATGTACGGTTAATCTCATATGGTACTCATTTTTATTTAACATCATCTGTTTTATCAGACATGTAACTAGTTTAAATACCTGTGCCCAAAATTACAGAATTGCAAAATGCAGTAGCTGGCATTTAAAAGTTGTCCTTCAAGGCTATAGGGTAGGAACTGCTTTTTATTGAAAATGCCTTCCAGTCTGTTTCTCTTCAGGGGCTCTAGTGTCCCCCTTTTATTTCCCTTGTCAGGAAGCTGAGCCCCTTTTGTGATTTACATGTTTTCCAGAAGCTTGAACCTTTATTGCCTTCTAAATAACATCTCTTTTTAGCAATAACTTTGAAACACTGTTTTGGCTAATAATAATTACTTACTGACTTATACTTAACTGACAATCCTACATTAAAAAAGGGTCCTGTCCTGCCTCCCCAGCCCCCAGAGAGAATCAGTCTAGGCCAGGGAATCCTTCAAGAATATTTGCTCAGATGTCCTGGCAGTTTGAGTGGCTAATAAGATAATTTTGTTTACCTTAGTTCAAAAGAGATTTTTGGGGTTTTTTTGCCACCAAAGTTGAAGTAATAGCTGGACTGGTTCAAACAAGTATACCTTGCATATTTTGTGGGTTCACTTACACACTGTTGTAATAAAGTGAGTATTGCAATAACAAGCAAGTTGTACTCTTTTTGCTGGTCTTGCCTTCAGTTTGGGAAAAAAAAACCCCAAAAATGCCATACCTGTGAAGTACATTAAAGCTGAATGCAACAAAATGAGGCATGCCTATATACCATAATCCTGAGAGCTTTCAGTCAAGGATTTCATGAGTGAACCCCAGCTGTCTCCAGTTTATGTATAAAGTAAAGAATACTGGTCTTAAGATTGTGAAAATTTTTTTAATCTGGTTAAAGATCCTGTTTTCTGAATAATCTGCTCTTCTGTAGCTTTCCTACTTTGACTTCTTTCATTTTGCATTTATGTAATAAACATTTTTCTTGTGCTGGGAGGTAAGCTTCAGTTGATCCTGTTATCCTTTGTAATGCTCAGCTTCCAAAGCATCGTCATCCCTCAATCAGCAAGCCACCTGGAATGCCAGCACTCACTCAGGACTCTGCTAGGTTTTATAGAGGATTACTAAAAGAAATAGCCAGGTGAAAAATGAGTTAATATTTTGTAAAGGGCTTACTTAGAACAGTATTTGGCATATGTTAAGTACACCGTAACTGTTTATTAAATAAATAAGAATAAAATTGCTTTGCTATTGTAAAACCTGACAAGGACATTGGTCTTTGAATTTTAGGCTCACACATGAGAAACTTTTTTAGTTTCCAGAAAAAAAGTTATGTTATGAAAGTGTGTTTCTTATAGGAAACTATGTGACTTGCACTATTTACCCTTTTGCCCTGCTTACCAGTAAGCTCGGAGTGAATTTAATATTTAAATATAGCAATTTTATTAGTTCACATAGCTGGGTATTTGCTTTTCCTTCTTACCTTGGTCTAACTATATTTTACCAACCTTTTCGTATTATGGAAAGCAGTGGGATATAAACAAGTCACCTACTTATCTTTTTCCCATGGTCAAACACTTTGAGTCATTGTCATTCTAGTATTTGTCATCTCCTTCAACCAACTTCAATTCTGGTTTAGGTTAAGATTTTAATACTATCTCTAATATTTTATGGAAAAATGTAATGATCTGTGTCCAGTTTTTCATGTAGTTCTCTTATTTAATTTTGTTACTGTCATTCTGTCATTTTGAAAACCACTTTGCTGAGCTTTCTCAGTTTTTAAGTTGTCTCTCTTCTTTCCTGACTCTTTGAGTTTGTTCACTGGTTAAACCCTGAGGCTGAGGCCTTTGCTTCTTTTCCATTTGTCTGCCTTCTCAAGAGCATATCCCTTCTCTCAGTCTTGACTCTTGTCTTCGTGTAGGTAATATTATCTCCCCTCCAAGTTCTGTTTTGTCATTTACCTCCATATATCTGATGACTTCAAATTTAAAATCTGTACCCCCATATCAATTCTTTTTTTTTAAATCCTCACCCAAAGATATTTTTTAAATTGATTTTAGGGGAGAGGAAGGGGGGAGGAATGGGGAAAGACAGAGAGACAAAAACACCAATGTGAGAAAGAAGCATCATTTGGGTGTCTCCTGTACTCACCCTGACCAGGAATTGAACCCACAACCTTTGGTGTATGGGACAAGGCTCCAACCATCTGAACCACCTGGCAAGGGTCCCATATCCATTCTGTTGTCTCTCATCAATCTATTTTGCATATTGTTTTGAGATTAATTGTAGACTTTTAATTTCAAAATATCACTGGAGTATTATAAAAAAGTCTCAGACCATGCTATAGCATTGAAGTTTTTTTCTTTTTTTTTTTTTTGCTTATTTATTTATTTTTAGACAGAGGGGAAGGGAGAAAGAGAGGGAGAGAAACCTCAATGTATGGTTGCTTCTTACATGCCCCCACTGGGCACCTGGCCTGCAACCCAGGCATGTACTCTGACTGGGAATTGAACCAGCAACCCTTTCGTTTGCAGGCCAGTGTTTAGTCCACTGAGCCACACAAGCCAGAGCAGCATTGAAGATTCTTGATTAACCTTTATACCAATGCTTATCTTAACATAGCCATTTTTACCATAGTATCTTTTTCTCTGTCAAGCATGCCATGCTTCATTTCTGTAAAGCCCAGAAGTATATTCTAGGGTCCCTGCGAAGGATTGGCATGTGGGGACAAGGGGGCATTTTACTATTTAATTAGAAAGGAAAAGTGACCAAACAGAAGGACCAGGCTGGGAAAGTAGCAGTATTTGTAATGCTCTTTAGAAAATAGGTAATCATGCCTATCTTCTACAACATTGAAAGTATTCCATTAAAACAACATCATTTTTTCTCTATCAGATTGGCATATGTTAAGTTAAAGCAAGTAATGCAAAGGTTATGGGAAATGGAACTCTTACATTGTTAGTAGAAGTATAAATTAGTTCAGCTGTTTGGGAGGGCAGTTTGGTAGTATCTGTTGAAAACTGCATATTCACATGCAATAATTGTGTGTTTGCTCACCTATTTAAAGTTACAGCATTTCAAAAATATTTTTAATTAAAATAGAATAATTATTATACTAAAAGTGAAAGTGCACACAAAAGTGATTTCAGCTACCTTCAGATACTATGACTTTGTTTCACGAGTTTATATTCTTAAGAAATGGAAAGCAAGGGCCAGAGAATCATTACATTCTGTCGAGAATTGAATTTCAAAGTAAGATTAAATACTTATGCACTTCAGCAAACATTGAATTAGGCCTATAGAATAGTACTGATAATAAAATTGAGATAGTGTTTGGCAGGTATAGGTAACACATTTTGGAATCAAAAGACAATCTGTTGAAATAGATGACATTCTGTTATAATCATTTAATAATGCATATGTTTTTAATTTGTAAAAGCATATTTTTAGTTCACTTAAGCTAAAATCAAAATTGAAAGTATAATTAATTTTGATAAGTGTTTTCTCAGTGAACCTCCTCAGTCATTTTGTGATTTCCTCAATATTAAAATTGTTTTTATTATCAGTGAGGTTTTAATGAGATCATAACACATATACCACTTTTGCTGCCTAATGTTTACATTAAACCACACATCTATTTAGCTGTCAATACATCTATATATGATCTGTAATTAACAAACTGCATGCTACTAATAAATATTCAGATGAGGGTC